CACCCATAGCCCACTTATCTGCTGTGTGCTGAGCCCCCTGCTCTCCCCTTCATTCCACGTGGTTCTCATTTCTTTCTTCAGTGCCTGGACAGCGCCAAATACCTTCTGTCATGTTTCTTTGGCCTGGAATGTTCTCTGCCTAACTTGTTGTCTGATTAACTCCTATCTACCTTTTCATCTTAGCAGAAATATTCTTTTTCAGAGAGGTTTTCCTTGTTCTCCTAAAATAAAATAATTTTCTCTGTGATGTCCTCAGTACTGCTCTGTGATGCCTAGTATTTTCCTTCATGGTGCTTTTCGTGCTGTGGTTAACTGCTTGATGCCTGACACCTCGATGGAAACTCCACAAAGGGAAACGCATGCTATTCTAGCCATCAGCACCACAGAAATACCTGTGAATGAGTGAAAGGGACAGGCCTAAACAGGTGCTGGGGAAAGCCCTACCCCCAGCCTCCAATAGCTTAAAGTAATTTCTTTCAGCTCCTAAACTCATCAGGTTTACAATAGAATGTGCATCAGTATCTCAGTTCCCCTGCTAGGATGGACTTTCAGATTCAGATGCTAAGATTTTTATAAATGAAAGAAACAAAAATCCAACATGGAAAGAAACAGAAATAGAGAATACTCCCCCGAGTGGCTACACATCTTCATTGTAAGCAATAATCTCAGTGTGCAACTATTGAGACTTGAGTAATTTACACGTCTCTAATCCTCTTACCTTCTAATCAAGAACATTCCAGTAGCTTTGCACTTAGATTCCCAACTGCATCATACATTCAGAAATCATTTCTTTGTCAGTGCTGTATTGGTAACTTATAATCACCTAGAGATTAAATAAGAATTCATTTTTCTTTATCCTAATATAGTTTATCTTTACAAAAGTTGCGTTTTTAAGTTTTCCATGCTAATTCCTTTACATAATTAATAGTAATTTAAAATGAAATGGCAATTAAAAGAAATAATCTATGTTTGCACATGGTCTACTTCACTACTCAAAAGAGGCAACTATGGTTTGTGGATTTTTTCATGTATATTTTTTCTGCTCTTCGTGCTTATCTCTGAGCAATTTCATCATTTATTAATAATGCAAGAATTAGGTGAATAGGATAGATAAAAGGATGTAAAAACTGCAATTATAAAACTTTACTTTTTCTTGGGGAAAAAACTTATCTCAATAAAGGCTATGTTTTAAGAGTTGACTACCAAAAAAAAAAAAACACTTGATATAAAATAAGATTACAAGTAGATTTAGGCTGATCATGTATTTATTCATTGAGAAATACTGTATAATTGTGATGAAATACTCTGTGGAAAAGTGAGGCATTAAGGGGGAGGTAAGTGGAATGGCTGGGACAAGGCTAGGTCATGGATGGTTCCAGGGGATTAGTACTTGGGCCTGTAAAAGGCATTGTTGGCTGCCTGACACCCACTGAAACCTCCCAAATTGACCCCCAAATTTGTTCCTGTTATCTGTCCCTTCCCTCTCTGCCAATGTACTAAAGGAGAAACTGATCCTGCTCTGAGTTCCAAGGGTGGGCCTATTTTCCAGAGTAACTCCATGCTCTTTCTAGTACAAGGTCCTGGAATCCCGGCCCAAGTGTCAGGTAACTGGCTCAGGAATGAGACAATGAGACGCTGAGAGGAAGTTTGCTGAGGGCTTCTGGGAAAAAAAAAAATTTGCTGATAGAGAGCAATCAGAATTCATGGGTGTTCTTCATCTTGACTTTGTTGTCCACATTTAATGAGGCCTGGCTGAGGCGGCTGTTTTCCTGACACTCTGAGATGAAGCCTGAGAAGGGGTATGAAAAACATGGCAGAGGGCAGAACTGGAGGCCTGGCTGAACCGTACCTCACCTCTTCTTGCCTAGACCCCATGGGTCTGTTAACCATGAATATTTTGAGTTTTGAGCAATTTTTACTTGGGAGTTTTGTTTCTGAAAGCCAAAGCATTTTAACCTATGATATCCCAATTTATATTTCCTTAATGTTATTTTTATTTTTAAACTTTAAGGTTTGGGATGTTTGATAATAAAAATAATCAAGCTCATTGTGGAGAACAAAGAAAACATTGAATGATACAATGAAAATTAAAACCATGCAAATTCCATTATCTCTTGAAAACTATTATCGATGTTTTAAACTAGTCTTCTTTTTGTATCAAGCTTTACAAGTATACTTTACATGTATAATTTTAAAGAAACGCACAACTTAGTAGGAAATAGAAACAAACAAAAAATCAATAGATGAATATCTGGGAATGTGGAAGGTTGTCATTTTAACTGTGTCCACTGTCAGTGTTGCTAATAATGATATATCCTAACTCCACACCCAGGTATAAATCATCAAAGATTTTAAGTCAAAAACTATTGAAGTATAATACACTTTAAAATAGATGTCTTATATTGATTATCTTTAAAGTACACACATAATGGCTTCAGTATTCATCAGCATTCATGAAAATTCCTGGAACAGAGCTTTATTAGGATGAAAGTTATATTATTATGCTAATCCCTTCAGTTTTGAATGTTTTCAAATTCTCATTGTTTTTTTCTGACCCCTGAGTTCACAGGAAGAACAGAAATGTGGGGACTTACTAGTTGTCTTTTGGTTATTGGCATCTAACTTAACTGCAGACTGGTCAGAGATTGCAGTTGCTATAGCAATTCTTAGATGGAGACTTGCTTTAGGACCCAGTATGTTTGACTTTTGAAAATATGTCATATATTCTTGGAAGGAATGTGTATTCTATAGTTTTTAGGCAACATTCTATACATAACCACTACATTCAGCTTGGTAATTCATGTTATTAATTCTCCTAGTCCTTTAAAAATTTTTTTTTGGTCCTTTTGACCTATGTATTAGTTTCCTGTGGTTTTTGTAAGAAGTTACTACAAACAGATGGCTTAAAACAGAAGAAATGTATTCTCTTGCAATTCTTGAAGCTAGGTTTTAAGTCAATTTTAAGTCAAAAACTATTGAAGTATAATACACTTTAAAATTGAAATTAAGGTGTTGGCAGGTTTGCACTCCCTCAGGAGGGTCTAGAGAATTCATTCTTTGCCGGTTTAAGCTTTGAGTGGCTGTTGACATTTCTTGACTTGTGGCTACATTACTCCAATCCCTGCTTTTGCGTCCCATTACTGCCTCCTCTTTTCCATGTTTTGTATACCTAACAAATCTCCCTCTGCCTTTTTCTTTTAAGGACCATTTTCATTGGTTTTATGGCCCA